GCCTATGGACCTACGACAGGCCTACCAAGTGCCTACGAATACACAGGTCACAGGTTCAATTCCCGGGGTCTACACAGATACTGTACATGGGTAGGGTGAGGTCTAGGGATCGAACCCTGGGTACTGCATCCGCTACTGCTAAAAGGTGAAAACCGTTTCAACTGTCTGTGATCTGTGGCAGAGTTTGACTTCGGGGAATTTTTTGACTTTTGGTTTACAGCGCCCTTGTTGCGCCCAGGTTGCGCCCAGGTTGCGCCTGACTGCTGACTTACCTCAGGCCTCAGGTCTGGGGTTGCTTTTCCAGGATTGAGGGGGAAGGGGGGGAGGGGGGTGGAGGCCCTGTACCCCTCTCTCTCTCACCTGAGGGATGCCTCACACGACTCCTGGCCCTGGACGGCAACTTTGGACCCCAGCAAGAACTCAGACTCAGGCTTGGAGATAGGACGCTGAACTCAATTCTGAGGTGCTTTGAGTCATGTTTCGCTGCACTGAGTGACAATGTTTTGCGTTGGAGACTGGCTTTGCATGTTAGCCACGGAAATAACTATTGAGACTCGAAAAAAAAAAAAAAAAAAAAAAAAAATCTCTATGGGTAAGGAGCGAGGATGATGATGGTTGAGGTTTTGAGAAGAGAGAGAACGAACTTCAAAGTTCAAACAAGTGTCCAGTGGTAAAATGGGGACAGAAAGGGACGACATTGTATCAATTCAATTGACTAGTATTGTGAGTTTATCCTCCTCCTCCTCCTCCTCCTCCTTCTCCTCCTCCTCTTTCTCCTCCTACTCTCCTTCCCTTCGTCTTTTTGACGCCGGTCTACTGTGCTATCTCTTTGCGATTTTCATTCACTGAACTGTGTGAGTTTCATGGATGTGATGTGAGCATCGCAGACTCGGGTTGAGTTTACATCAGCAATAAATCTTCTTTTCGGTTTCCTTTTTTCCTTCTTCTTTTTTTGAATTTTTTTCTTCTTTTTTTTTGAAGTTTTTTTCTTTTTTTCTTTTTTCTTTTTTCTTTTAAATGGGGTTACTCAAACAATATCGTGTCCATCAGGGTTTGAACTCGTGATCTGTTTATCGGCCGTGGGTTACATATGTGTAGTGCCACTCAGCCACATGGCCAGTAGTACAGCAATAGATCTGCAACGGTTCCAATCGCCGCGCTACCCTCCACGATGCGATGAACGAGTGAACTCCGAAACTGGTTGAGATGTCGACATCCTCACTATAATTTTTTTTTGATATGCTGCTGTGCAGATTACAATTGTGAGAGAGGGTGTCTGTCATGGCATCATTTTGTGGATAGACTGGATGCTCGACCAAGACGGTTCTTTCGTTCTTTCTGGACATCCAACGGAAGGTGGGGCCCGCTTTCTCTTTTTTTTATTTTCTTTCTTTCTTTCTTTCTTTCTTTCTTTCTTTCTTTGTCGTGTGCAAGATCTTTTGCGTTGTTTATTCACTTTTTTCAATTTTTTTTTAAGTTTTTTTTCAAGTTTTTTTCTACGTTTTTTCAAGTTCTTTTCAATTTTTTTTGAAGTTTTTTTTTTTTAATTCAAAGTTTTTTTTCAAGTTTTTTTCAAGTTTTTCGAAGTCTTTTGCATCTCAGTTGGATGTGTGTGAAAATGTCTGCAACTCTGCGTTGCATTCACTTCGTGGAAAGCTTTATCACATTTTGAATTCCATGAACTTGGTCTATTTTAGTATTTTTACGTATTTTTTAGTATCTTCTTTATGAGCTTTGCCATGTGCATGCTGCTCATTGAAATGTGGTTATAACTCATAAACTTATAATCATATTAATCAAGGAATTCCGAAACAAATCGATATAATTTAATAATTATCTCTAATACCTTAAAGGAAAACGCGGGTCTCGCGTGACGGGCCCACGTGAGACACCGGTGGTGGAGGCAGGGTCCCAGATGTGAGAGATGCCACGGCCCCACACGCGACAGCGGCTGCGGAGCGGCACGCGAGACTCCGCAAGGCGGTGCACGGTACCGTCGGTGCGGGCCGGTGCGATTTCGGGACGGCGCGCCACGGTTTCGGGACGGTACGGCGGGTCGACGTCGGGGCTGCGGTGCCAAGGCGGGGACAGCACCGTTCCGACGGTGAGGCGGTAGCGGGGCGGGCCGGCAGCGTTGATGTCGGGGTTGTGAGGCCGGCGCGCCCCTGCGACTGGCAGGAGGTACGGGGAGGCAGGATGTAGCGCGAAGGAGGGGAGGGTGGGAGTATGACGACCGAGTCGTGCGCAGTGGGAACGACGGGGGGAGAGAGAGAGAGAGAGAGAGAGAGAGAGAGAGTACTTGGATCGATGCGAGAGAGAGAGAGAGAGAGAGAGAGAGAGAGAGAGAGTACTTGGATCAATGCGAGAGAGA